GTCATCATCATGGGGACGGGGGCTTTACAATGCTAACAAGCCTATTGCCATGTAAAAAGGGCTTTTACTATGAAGAACGCTGGGCGGAATCACAGAGGACGCAGGGCAAGGGATGCAAAATCCGACCCTTTGTTATTATTCATATACTATGCAACATATAAAAGGAAGCTTCCCCTTTAATATGTATACAGGTATCACACATACGTAGAGACGTCCATACAGGCACACATACGTAGAGACGTCCATACAGGCACACATACGTAGAGACGTCCATACAGGCACACATACGTAGAGACGTCCGTACAGGCACACATACGTAGAAACATCTGTAGAAAATGGTGTGCCGCCAACAGAGCACGAAGGGTTAACTCATCTAATATTAATGAGCCCACATTAACTTAGTCACTGGTGATCTCCGTGAAGCAGAATGTGTAACGCGTGGATTCCTCCAGCCTGTCCTCCACTTTAACCATGTGATCACAGGGCGCGTCTGGACACGGCACGCAGGGGTTAAGAATTTTTAAAGCTTCTCTTTATAGGGTCAAATACCAACGGGGATCGGGCCGGGGATTGGGCCAGGCGGGCTAGGATATCGGCTACAACAGGATTAGAGGGGGAAGAGCTGACAAGAATATATTTAAATAGCCGTCAAGATAAGAAAGATCCGGAAAGCAGGAAAAGCGAGGATTCTTCTGGTGTATGGAATGAGGAATCTTATCATATATAGCAAAGATCCCAACATACAGAGTGTGATGAGTCAGAGGTCCCGAAGTAGGGATCATATAATGGAACCCAAACATTTCAGATGACGTGTTCATATCATAAAGAGAAATAACCTCCCGGCCCCATAAATGCCCCCAGATCCTAGAAATTCACATGAACTACTTATATCACAATATAAAGAATAATAACCTCCCGGCCCAATAAATGCCCCCGGCCCACGGTTTCATAGGTCCCAAAGTTTCCACTGAATTGCTTAAATCATAAGGGGGGGGGGGACCCCCGCCAGAAAACTCATGGCCAATTAAAAGTCTCCAGACTCCAAGATTTCAAATAAAGGGTTTATAGCTTCCCATTAAAAGCCCCAACTCATAGACCGGGCAATGGTGGTACAGGGTGCCTACTGGTATAGATCATAGACCGGGCACTGCTAGCGTAGGGTGCCTACGCGTATAGATCATAGACCGGGCACTGCTGGCATAGGGTGCCTACTGGTATAGATCATAGACCGGGCACTGCTGGCAATAGGGTGCCTACTGGTATAGATCATAGACCAGGCACTGCTGGTAAACATACCATCCCATTACAAGCCATATCCTACTGGTATAGATCATAGACCGGGCACTGCTGGCGTAGGGTGCCTACTGGTATAGATCATAGACCGGGCAATGGTGGTACAGGGTGCCTACTGGTATAGATCATAGACCGGGCACTGCTGGCATAGGGTGCCTACTGGTATAGATCATAGACCGGGCACTGCTGGCAATAGGGTGCCTACTGGTATAGATCATAGACCAGGCACTGCTGGTAAACATACCATCCCATTACAAGCCATAGATCATACACTGGGCAGCACTGGTACGGATCATACACTGGGCAGCACTGGTACGGATCATACACTGGGCAGCACTGGTACGGATCATACACTGGGCAGCACTGGTACGGATCATTCTATTACAGCAAACACCTGACCTAAAATAAAGAGGGAAAATAACATCCCATTACAAGCCACAGTTCCCAGACTGGTCACCTACTGGTGTGGATCATTCTAACATGACAACGCCTGACCTACAATGAAGAGGAAACATAAGATCCCATTAAAGGCTATAGATCATAGACTGGGCACCACTGGTATAGGGCACTGGTACCACTGGTATTATGACAACACCGGATCTAAAATGAAGACGAAACAGAACATCCCTTTAAAGGCCACAGATCACAGACTGGTCACATACTGGTATAGGGCGCATACTGGTATGGGGCGCATACTGGTATGGGGCGCATACTGGTATGGGGCGCATACTGGTATGGGGCGCATACTGGTATAGGGCGCATACTGGTATAGGGCGCATACTGGTATAGGGCGCATACTGGTATAGGGCGCATACTGGTATAGGGCGCATACTGGTATAGGGCGCATACTGGTATGGGGTATACAACTATGACAACACCTGATCTAAAATGAAAAGGAAACATAAGATCTCATTATAAACCATAGATCACAGACTGGGCACAGACTGGGCATAGGGTACGTACTGGTATAGGCCATTCAACTATGACATCACCCGATCTTAAATAAAGAGAAAAGATATCACCCCATGAGGCCATAGACCATACACTGGGCACCTCCCGGTATAGACCACACACTGGGCACCTCCCGGTATAGACCACACACTGGGCACCACCCGGTATAGACCATTCTATTATGACAACACCTGACCTTAAATAAACAGGAAGCATAAGATCCCAGTAAAGGTCACTGATCACAGGCTGGGCACCTCCTGGCATAGGGCACATGCTAGTACAGATCACAGACTGGGCACCTCCTGGCATAGGGCACATGCTAGTACAGATCACAGACTGGGCACCTCCTGGCATAGGGCACATGCTAGTACAGATCACAGACTGGGCACCTCCTGGCATAGGGCACATTTACAAGGATTAGGGGGGTCCATGTTCCTCTTACCTCTGCCATAGCTTTTGTAGATGAGCCAGCTGAGAGAGGCAGAGATCCTGGCCTGCTGGGCATCGTACACATCCAAAGGTGCTGTCCTTCAGCACCACATGGAGGGGGGACCCGGGGGGGCGTCTGGCGGTCTCCTCCGTTCCTCGCAGCTGTCTCAGGTGCACTGACTGTCTCTCTCCTCCCCTCCCCCTCCTTCTCCGTCTCTCTGTGACGTCACCCTGGGGCGGAGTCTCTCCTTCTTCCTAACAGGTAATTGGGAATGGACAATGGAGGGAAGCGGCCCCGGTGAATGATGACAATGACGTGTGATGTCACCGGGCGATTTATTGTATCCCTCCATTCTATACATTGTAACATGTGACCCGATCATTGCTGGGTCATGGGCTGCTAGAGGTGACCGTACAAAGGTAATGGAAGGACAATATGACACCGACCCGGAACAATGTGATCACCTGATGACTTCACTGGGGGGTCTCCATCTTCTGAACACACCAGGGGGTCTCCATCTTCTGAACACACCAGGGGGTCTCCATCTTCTGAACACACCAGGGGTTCCCCATCTTTTGACCTCACCAGGGGGTCCCCCTCTTTTGAACACACCAGGGGGTCCCCATCTTCCGAACACACCAGGGGGTCTCCATCTTCCGAACACACCAGGGGGTCCCCATCTTCTGAACACACCAGGGGGTCCCCATCTTCTGAACACACCAGGGAGTCCCCATCTTCTGAGCACACCAGGGGGTCCCCATCTTCTGATCAGGACCGTGACTTCACTAGGGGGTCCCCATCTTCTGAGCACACCAGAGGGTCCCCATCTTCTGATCAGGACCAGGGGGTCTCCATCTTCTGATCTTTCCAGGGGGGTCCCCATCTTCTGACCTCACCAGGGGGTCCCATCTTCTGATCAGGACTGTGACCTCACCAGGGAGTCCCCATCTTCTGATCTCCCCAGGGGGTCCCCACCTTCTGAGCACACCAGGGGGTCCCCATCTTCTGAGCACACCAGGGGGTCCCCATCTTCTGAGCACACCTAGGGGTCCCCATCTTCTGATCAGGACCAGGGGGTCCCTATCTTCTGATCTTTCCAGGGGGGTCCCCATCTTCTGACCTCACCAGGGGGTCCCATCTTCTGATCAGGACCGTGACTTCACTAGGGGGTCCCCATCTTCTAATCAGGACCGTGACCTCAGCAGGGGGGGTACCATCTCATTTGTTTTGGCACTCGTTCACGCAACGCAAAGGTGTGAATGGGGACTTATGGTCACCTGGTGATCCTGCCAATAACGCACTTCCTGTCCCTACATGTCTACACTTATATACAATATATTGCCAAACTAAATGGTCCAACATTCCCATAGACACACTCCTAAACCTTGTGGATGCCTTCCCAGAAGAGGCGGAGCTGTTATAGCGGCAAAGGGCGGAGCCAACCCAATATTGAACCCTACGGACTAAGACTGGGATGCCATTACCGTTCATGTGCGTGTAAAGGCGTCCCAATACTTTTGGTAATATAGTGTATGTCTGCGGTTGTCATACACGCTGGACTTCAAACATGTCTGCCTCTGTTCAACTGCAATACGTGTGAGACTGATGGGACTAGTAGTTTACACAACAAAGATTCCATTCCTTGTAAAGTGTATCTAAATGTCCTATATATCGCAGCTCACCAATCCATAGATGTGGCGGCTGCATTCGTTTTCTTTTATCAGGCTTGTGTTCCTTTATTGTCGCCTGTTGATCCCGCCAGTAACACACTTCCTGTCCCTACATGTCAAGTGCATGTAATGGGGGTGAAGAAAGATAGACCAGCACGTATGACAACCATGGATACAGTGTTCTACACGCTGGAGTTCAGACATCCGTGTGGCATGCATGTCCGTGCATAGCCCGGATCCCGGGAGGGAAGGCTCTGCGTGTAATTGTGTGCAGCCACCTGAACATTCCTAGGAGGGGACGCTGCACATGCGGTTACATGTGACCCGTACATCCGTGCAGGTCTGGATGCATGTGCACGCACACCCGTGGCGTGAGCCCATAAAGGCCATCGCCGGTTTTGTTTTGGAGGAGGGGGACTTCAAAAATGTCTGCCGGGTTATTATTTCGGTGTCACTTCCCGTCCCTGTAAGATTTGCGCAGGAAGTGAGGGATGTGCACTGCGTGTGAATGAGCCCTAAACCTAAGGGCTCCGGGGTAAGGCGGCCGGGGTGTACGCACACCTCAGCCACAGGCAAATCCTTTATTGCTGCCCCAGCACCCCTCACTTCCTGTGCAAATCTTACAGGGACAGGAAGTGACACAGAAATAATAATCTGGAAGACATTTTAAGTCCCCCCCCTCACTCCAAAACAAACACACGCACTTGTTTTATGATGTCTGTGTATCAGTGGGGAGATTTCCCTTCACTTCCTGTCCAGGAGAGGAAGCAGGAAGTTGGAAAATTGAGAATTCCCTCCCAGGAACAGACGTGGGCCTTCCCCGGGCTGTGTACATAAGCTATGAAGCTCACAGGTGTCTATAACAGGGGGCAGGCAATCTTCATCTATGTTATATACCAGGGGTAGGCAACCTCGGCCCTCCAGCTACAGCTGAAACTACAAATCCCATGGTGCCTCTCCCTCTGGGAGTCATGGCTGTTGCTTTCAGAGCCTTGCAATGCCTCATGGGCCTTTGCGTTCCGTGAATGCACGCCATGTTCGCGCACGTTCGCGTGCACTTCTTTTCCGGTATTGTCCATTGATTTCAATGGGTGCTACATGTGCAACAAACGCAGGCAAGAAGCTCCTGCGTCAGATTCTGCTACAGGCGTTCACCTTGGTTTGTGCGCATTTAATGTGCGGGGGGGAAAAAACGAATTTTCCCGGCTGCGTTTGGAGTGCCAATCAAAAAAAACGGCACCGGAAGTGCATTGCGTGTTTTTGTTGCGTTGAATCAACGAGCGTTAATGTGTGCGTGACGCGAAGGCGTGAATGGGGACTGAAGTCTCCGGTCACGCAATGCGTTTGCGTTTTCATGAATTGTTTTGCTGCTCGTGCGTTACGTATCTTTTGTTTCGCCAATAAATGTAAAAATAAAGTTTGGGTTGTCAGGGGGCGGGGTTTGTTGTCATGCGCTAAAACGCCCCCATAATACATGCAATGCATCTTTCATGCGTTCCCATTGAAGTCTATGGGGCACCACGTGACATAGGTGTGAATGGGCCCTGTAGGAAAGATCGGGACTCCCTTTGTTGTGCGTTGTCACCCGACGCCCGGCATTCCTGGCATCGCCGGCCGGTGACCTGGGATTAGTAACGCAGCTCAGGTCACTCCGCAGCAGAGGATTGAATGACTTTAAATAGATTCCCAACAATTCCTTTCATCCGGATGAATCTTTGTTGTGAATAATGAAGAGGTTCACCGGAGAGAAACTGGATGAATACCGGGTGAATCACTGACGAAACAAGGTGAACCTGAAGATCCGGCGGGCCACTGGACGAGGATTTCTCATCTACAACAGACACACGTGACGGCTCCAGCCCCCTCCTCACTCTACAAGGTGACCACATGTGACGGCATTGTGTTCATCTAACGGGGGG